GCAAAGCGTATTAGGGTTATTTGCTTTAAAGAGAAAGATGCTTTCTTGGAGGGGGTGCTTTCAAAGCGAAATTGTTTCATATTGACGGTACTTATGGGTAAAACCAGAAAAATTCCCTTGAATCCAGCCTTTATTTACGTGTTAACATTTATATCAACGCCAAGAAATTTTTAAATTTAAAAATGCATTTTGTCTTTGTGTGTAATTTAGAAAGACTCTAAATGGAATCTTATTGTATATCTCCATAAATCTCTTGATGTACTTCATTCTGACTTGATTTATTTGATTATGGCAAAGTGCTCGAGGCTTTTTACCTAAAGGGAGGGATGACTTCCTGGAGGACTTTCTAAGGAAAACTGGCTCGTATTCATGTTACACATGGGGAAAAACACGAAAACACCCCTATAGCCAGCTCATTCGCTATGATTTGAACCTCGGACCAAACTACTTTACAGCTTGAGCGTTGGTGGGCCTGTACTTCATCCTGAAACCAACTCTAATCACCATTTCGAAGTCGTCTTAATCTATTCTTTCTGCTTAATATATATATTATATTACATAACATTTCCCATGAAATCATTAATTCATTTATTTTGAGATAAGCCGTATCAAATTGTTGATGCTTGCAATAATGTTTAACTCTTTCTTATCATCTGATTTCCAAATGAGAAAGGAAAACAACAGTGACTCCCAAAATCGTTGGGAAACTATCGAGTGTATAGTAAACATAGGAGTATAAACAAGTTATAATTAAAATTTTTAATTGTATTTTTAAACAATATCTTCTTTCTATTCATTATGATATTATACGCGAAATTTACCCAAACAATAATATCATAATTTAAAAAAAAAAAAAAGTTAATCGGCAATGAGAAAACAAATTCCACAAAAGTCTTGGAACACCATTTTTGCCATATGAGAAATTGGCACTAAGGAAAAGCTTTTCTTGTGCATTTTGGTTTAAAAATTATACGTATAATATAAATAACACTTAACGTTTGAAAATTTATTATGCAGATAAATTCCAATTTACTGAGTTCTGGTGCACAATAGCCGAATATCATAGATTAGGTTATTTGAATATCGTAAAACACACATACACACAAAAAGCGATCTGCTAAAGGAAGGAATGCCTTCGTGGAAGACTTAAGGAAATCTGGCTCGATTTATGTTACACAAATAGAAAACCACGAAAGCCAACCAACATAGCCAGGCCGTTCACCTGAGTTTGAAGCCCCGTCAAACTATCGGTATTCGACAATCTTAACCCCTCAATCAATATTTAGACGGAGTCAAGTATCATAAAGAAATATTAAATGAGATTACAAAAATAATTACTTTTCATTTTAAAAAAACTAATTCATCTGTTAAAGAAGTTTTCAACCTTTTGAATTTTTTGAATTTATTAATTTTTATAAAATAATTTAGAAAAGAAAATAGAATTCTTAAAAAAAAGAAAAAAAGAAAGAAAAAAAAAAAAGACGTTTCATATTTTAAATTGTTGAGACACTTTACTCTCTCGCAAGTTCTCAGTCTACCAAATCTGCTCTTATACTCGCCCCTACTAACATTTGTTTTCTTTCTTTTTAGCTTTATTATTAAGCGTCGTTTTCTTTGTTCGCACTAGAGCTACATACATTTATTTCAACAACAAAATCACAAAGTTTTTTAAAGTTGTTTGGCAGCATAATGTTTAGAATTCCCGATGCAGTTTAAGTGTTGATATACATTTTAATATTTTTTTCAGTCGTTTCTGAGTTTATCATATGAATATTCAGTTTTCTTCAGTTTTTCAATATTCAGTTCAGGCTATTAATTTTTTTATTCTTTTTATTATTAACTCTTTCTGCTAAGATTTATTTATTAAATATCACGTTATTCGCATTTACGCCACATAAAATTCTATTCAACAGCAAAATCACAAAATGTTTAAAAGCAGCATATCTTTAGAATTCCCGAAAGAGTGTTAAGAAGTTGTCATACATATTTTTATATTCGATATATTACTTCTTTAAAAATAAGCCACCTAAAATAGTTCTCAGAAAAGAGAAAAAGTATATAAGGATTTTAATAAATCCAGCTAGTATCAATTCGTTAAAATACTCAATATTTCTAAGTAGACATTTCATGATTTTAATACATGTTTATTTAAATTAATCACATCAAAAATAGAAAAATATGCTTAAGAACTGTGATGATTGCTTTTAAATCGCTTAGCTTATTACTCAGTAACCTACCAGATTAAATTTGAAAGTTCTTAGACTTACTTAATTTCTTTATAAATAATACAGTACGATAACATTTGGTGGCAGCAATTTGAAAAGTGATAAGCCGTTTATAATGAGCCAACGCAAAATCCCATGTCGAGACTAATTAGCTATTTTAGGCTGATAAGAAAAACAGCCATCAAAACTTATTTCGCAAGACTAGCGATTTTTACTTAAAAAGTATTTTAAGAAACCTCTGTTAAAATGCTAAATTAGAAATTTAATATATCGACTTCTCCTTATGTAATCCAGACTAATTGTTAGGATAATCACGATTAATCAGTAAGGAAATAAATATATATATTCGGAGGAAAGAAAAATCAATAACTTAAGTTTATGTTTCCAAAAGCAATAATAAACAGAACTTTCTCTTAACTAATTCATTTTTGTGAATAAGAGTAAATTTTCTTCTTGCAAGTGGTCGCATTATTATTGAGCAAAAAAATGAATTATATCTAAAGGATTTGGTAACTAAAGTAAAGCAGAATGGAATAGACGAAAGTAAAGCATGATGACGTAGACGTCCTTGCATGTCTGTAGCAAGATTATGTAATTTCATTTTTATTGAAACTAAAATCAAGCAAAATATATCAGCTTTCTAAAAGAAAAGTTGATAGCATCAGCACAAATAAGGGGCGACAGAAAGAAATTTGCATTGTATCAACAACGAACAGGGCGATAATATTTGGTGGCTACAATTTGAAAAGTGGTACGCCTTTTGTAGCGAACCGGAGCAAAATGCCGTTTCCAGACTAATAGCCCTTCTGAACTAACGCTCCTTTGGGCTAAAAATATTTAAAAAAAAGAAATCTTTTCTTTTACATTACTGATAAATCAAAGGTCACTCCAAACACAGGATTTATTATTATTATTATTGAGAATGTGTAAGAACTGAGATTCTTTTCGTCCTGAATAGTTCGGATGAAAGAAAAATAAAAACCAGTTCATTCATCATTTTCAAATGAAGTGCTAATCGATATATACGTAAATGATAAAGAAAATTGATCAGTATATAATTGATGAATACTTATACTGATGTAGGGCGACGGTTATAACGGTATTTTATAATTTTAAAATCGTTCCAATATCATATAACAGTAATACTTTATATCCTTTTATCTTACAACAGTATTTAAATAAATATATTATTGGCATTTATATAAAAGTGGAACTGCCGCACAGAAGTATATAGTTTGATGGCAAATATTTCATTGCCAATGCATTGAGAAGCATCAAAATATTTTAAAGAAATTTACTCTCTCTTTCTTATGTACTAATAAATAGCATATTATTACAACCAACGGGTAAAGATGCTATGTTTTTAGCAATGATTCCTTAACTACAATTTTATATTGTCTCTGTTCTTTAAAAGAGACGGACGGGACTTTCCTGTTGATATTAGGTTCATATTTTGTGTTGAAATATTAAATGCATTTTCATGATTTCATACATATTTTGATTGACTAGTATATCACGATACTATTTTTTGTCAGTTATATTATCATTTAATCCTTTAACTATTTTTTCTCATTTAGACTAGAGTGTATCCATTTCTTTCACATGTGAATCAAAAGCATACGTATAGGAACTGAGCTTAATAGTATAGAAATGCCTAAAACAAACAATAAGGGTAAAGTATTCTTATTGGAATATATTTTCCTTTTAAATTAATAATTTTGTGGTAGTTACTGATAGTTTATACATGAATACTTTTAATTTCTTACGTTCTATTGTAACCGTGTCCTTCGAAAAATAAATTATTCGCTTAATTTTCTCCTCTCGAGTTTTTGTTATCTACACATACATACATAAACATATATCCAAATAAATTACTGTAACATTTTTAACATAAATTACAGTTTTTATTTTTATATTCTCTGAAACATTTTGAGAACCGTTAAGCAATCTGTAGAAGAAAGGAAATGAGAAGACGAGGGGGGAAAAGTTCTTATTTAGAATCATAACCACCCCTCGATGCTCTTGCCCTCCCGCCAAAAATCGAACGGCGTTCATTTCAGGTGAGCTTAGCACCGGCGCCACCAGGGTGCTCTACCTGTCTAAGGTGAGAACCTATTAAGGAGAGGAGGAGGGGAGGAGAGGGATGCTCGCGGAGAATCTTCGAAGTTTGCGCTTCTGGATCAGTATCGAGTACGCGCGTGGTCGTTATTGGACGTACAGATTATCCAGGTGTTCTGTCATTACGCGCGTTGAGTGAAAACGATAGTTACCGTTCGGTGGGGGTCTTCGTATCGTTTCTGCTTTTCATGTACGGTGGAATACTTATCTTCTAGCTATAATATACGGTAACGATAGTTTTCTATTTTTGAGAATTCGCAAGTTATATTTCTGTTCTGGAATTAACTGCTGTTTCCATTAAATAACATATCTCTAAATTACCGTTGAATATAATATATTATTGTGAATAACAAATGAATAAATAATTTGCTTGTTGAACTATATTAATAGTTTAGATAAATATTATCAAATATGGTTGAATTTTGGTGTAAACGAAATGAAGAAGATACATGAAAGTAATTTTTATTGTAATTTTAAAATTTCCATCAGAAAGGACAAAGAATTTTTCACCAAGGATACACATTGTAACCAAGTCGTTTTATTTTAATTAACAATAGGACTCTTGGTTTTGTCAACTTTCCTGAACATGGACTAAACCTAAAGGAATATTAAATTATCAACGGCTGGCTCATGGGTGTGCATTTTAGGTTTGTCAGTTTTAATGTCTGACGCTTATTTTTGGTATTAGGAAATTGTTGGTTGCCAATTACCCTTTACGACGTTGTTAAGTTAGAGATACCTGCTTATTTATTTGCCCCAAGGAATAAAATAAAAATAATACTGGCCCTGAAAATGGTTTCCGTGGAAGCAGCAGTAGACCGTATGATGGCCTCCAGAGAAGAAGCACGCAGACTCTTGTATCTTAGGTCCGGTATCCATCCTCAGTTCTCAAATATTTCAGCATCCAGAGAGGAAGCGTTGACTCTAAATGTACGAAGGAGCAATATGGACTTGGGGAGTCATAGCCAGCAACAGCTCCAGCATCCTAACCACCACAGAATCCGCTGCCAGGAGACAAACAGCGGAAGCAAGCGAGGAAGTTTCGGAGATTCAACAGGGGGTCCTTCCACGGCCGTATCGCGACGCAATGCCCGCGAGAGAAAGAGGGTTCGCTTGGTGAACCTAGGCTTCTCGACGTTGCGTGAACGTGTTCCCGCCGGTGCAAAGAACAAAAAGTTGAGCAAAGTGGAAACGTTAAGAGCTGCCATAGAGTACATCAAACAGCTGCAACAGATGTTGGGGATGCCGGACAGGTCTTCATATGATGACAATCAGCTTCAGGCTATGATGATGCTAGACGAGAACTATGGTCCTGACGACTGTTCCTCGGTTGCTTCTTCTGAAGATGTGTCAGGACAAAGCGGACAAGTAGTAGGTTCGGGGGATTTGTCCCCAGCTTCTAGCCATCCTTCGGACTGTTCTTTGGTGTCTTCCCCGTACACGTCTCATCAAAATCAAGATGAACATCTTATAGACATCGGAGTTTGGTTTTCTTAAAACTTCCGTTGGCTTAAGAAGGTAAGTTCAATTTAAATTATTCATTTGTTTTCTTGGCTATGTGTTCATGTCTAAAACTGACTACTTAGTCTATATATATGCAATGTATACTTTTAGAAATATTTTATGAACTTTCCTTAATTTACTTGTCTATCACATAGGGGATTATTAACTATTAACATTAATGTGTTACAGAGTTTCGAAAAGATTCAGAGAAATGATAAATATTGTGCAGAATAAATTATATTATTAATACCGCTCTTTCATTTGTAGTTCTAAGTAATCCTCAAGTAAAGTATAACATAACAAAATGCTTCTTTTCCCCAAATAATAGTTTAGTGTCCCGTCGCTGATTTTAGTATAAAAATTCAAACTCTAATTATTTCCAAATTCGGTTTTTTATTAAATCTAATCTGTAAAAATTATTTTTTAGGTAGTTTTATTTCGTTATTTATTTATTTGTAATTTCTTAATTATGCTTCCTATCATTTCTTAACAAAAACTTTAATTTTGAAATATGAATTATCAGTATCTGTATTCTTTCATATATGGTACTCTCGACGGTAAACAAATGGCTTTCTAGGCCTTTATTTAATGCATTTACTCAGTTATTAGAAAGTGATAAGCTTCCTTCAAATTATTAAAAACGTTATTTTATATTTTACCCATTACATTTCATTCAGTTCTATACCTCAGCAGCTTATTTCAGTATCGCATTAGAATAAAAATATACGTCAGCTCCGCAAAATTTAAGAATGTAATGAACTTTCTTATTTGCAAGGTTATAAATTTATATACAGATAGCTTTATTCACTTAAACATCATGAATAGTATTTTATCTATTATAAAAAGAAATAAACAATTTGCATTACATAAAAATAATACATAGTCCCTTTTCCCATGCAAATTTTAAGACCGCAATTATTCGAATCATTTTTTACTTTTCTAGTTCTACTGAATATAATTTAAGACAGCTATTACTTTAAAATATATATCTATATATACAGAGAGATAAAACTGATGTACATATTATGGATTGAAAACTTAATATAATAAAATAATATAATAATAATAAAAGTATCTAAATTAAGTATAATAAAAGGTTTTACTTTTCACAAATTTTTTTTATTTATGGGGAGAGAAATAGCCACCTTTACTATGGCCTGTTTCTCTCCTTAAATCAAACTCGGAGAGATAATTTCGTAGAGGAATTTCAAACGGAAACTCGCTCGCATTTCCATTCCATTCATAGATGGGGATTCAAAACTGGAATAAAACCATAAGTGCTTAAATATTGTATGAAGCCGCTAGTGAGTGATATAGAAAGCCCGAAGATCTTCGATAAGGACTTTCGATAAGGAGCCCGAAGATAAAAAAAAAAAAAAAAGGGATTTTTTTTTTCTTCTCGACAGTATAAATTTTTTAAAACTGTGTGATATGTATTTATACGTTATCAAACATCAAGGTTATTTTTCTTTTTGAAATGTGTGTATTTGCATGGGTAAGCGTGCTGCTAATGTCTGAAAAATGCACAAAATATTATACAATATATATATCTTTAATTACCTTAAAATATAAAAGAAAATGGTTACTTAATTACAACGAAACATTTTAGAGTTAACTACATAACGTGAAAAATACTTTCAGGGAGTGCTTAAAAACCGACTTGCGTCTTTCATTTGGGGAAAATCACAAAAAAAAAATCTTCCTGCAGTTGCTGAATACTTTAAACACAAATTAATATGTATATGTAATTAAATCTAAATTATTATTAAAAAATCTTAAATGTTTCAGATTTTAAATTACGTCCATAGGAGTTTTTTTAACATTTCGTGTGTTACATTTATTTATTAAATATCACATTCTTCGCACTTAAGCAATAAAATTCAGTTCAACAGCAATATCGCAAAATAGTTTTAAAATGAGCATGTCTTTAGAATTTCCGGTACAGAGACTCGCGCGCTGGAGATAAAAATGTTTTTTCTGTACAACGTTGCCATTGCTCGCTTTGAAATCCTTGTATTTGTTAATCAAAAATTTGTTAAAGTTTTACAAAATATGAAATCGATAATAAACAAATATCAGTTTTGGGCTTCCACATGCCCATATTTGTAGGAGGATTACGTCATTCAAAATTCGATGGCTCTATATACCGTTGTTGTATCACAATTCGAGAAATATGCATACATTTATGCAGAATTTTTCATTATCTAATTTCTTCAAATATAATGCAGGATTCATTTATAATATATATGCATATAACATTTTGTGGCAGCAGTTTGAAAAGTGAAATGGCCATTTATAGTGAACCAACGCAAAATCGCTGATAAATTTATTAAGATTTACATACGATAACTTAACGGATAAGCCTTGAAAAAGATTAAACACAAAGCTGTTAAGCTCCTGAGTGCTTTGTTGCAATAAATAACCTTCAAATAACAAACTTGGAATTCTATGAATGTTCTTCCCTGTCCTCTAAATAATTCGGTGTCTGAGAGTTTATTAAATTTTGGGGAGAAACATATAACGTGTAAATAATACTTAAATAAATGATAAATTTCTGTTTTAGTACTTCGTAATTGTTAAATTTTGACTGAAACTAGATAAGCACAGAAACATTTAATTTGCATCAAAATGAGTACTAACACGTTGGATTCAATGGATATCACGAAGGAAATGTAATGCTACGTGGAATCATGAACCGAATTCTATTATCATCTATCCAAAGAGATGTATGAATAATTTACTAACTAGAAACAACATAAAAAGTGTACAGAACCGATTGAATATCTGATATCTCTTAAAAAGAAATGTGACGGAATTAAAATTAATTTGCGCAAGTATGGATGATTATTATTTACTCATTATATTTAGTCTTGTTAGGTTAGGCAATGTTAATCGATTAAAATAAAGTAACTCAAAAACTATTTACCTATGGAAAGGTGGCCTTCGTGAAGGGTAAGCCAGGGGAAAGTGGCTCGTATACACGTTACACGCGCGGAAAACCACGAAAACGCTCATGCAGTCAACCCCTTTCGCCAAAATTTGAACCTCAGACCGAACTACCAAAGTTCAGCGCCTTTACCACTCGGCTGCTAGAGTGTCATAATGATATGGATGGTCGTATATAACGATAAGATATTTCCTCTAAGAGGTATAACTTCGTGGATAAAAACTGGCTTACATTACACGAATATATCAGTAATATAATTAGTTTTCTGTAGGATTGGTTTGTTTATTTCAGGCGAATATGACATAGTACGCGAGTGTTATGTGTATTAGGAAGCCTACTTTCGATAAGGACTTTGTAAAGGAAATTGATTAGATTACTTTGATATGGCAAAGCAGAAATGGGCTATCTGCCTAAGGGAAGGGATGGCTTTATAAGGGGAAATGATGCGTATTCTTGTCACAAGAAAAACCACGAAAATCCAAATGCAACCAGCGTGTTCGCTTGAGATAGAACCCAGATCAAACACCCAGTATCCAACGGTCTTAGCCACTCGGTCACTGGTGGGGAAAAGCGGAAACTGCTTCTTATTCGCATGACGCATTGTGGAGATGACGAAACTCTTATGCGACTAGTCCATTCAATCATCAAGAACAGACCTCGGGATGAACTCCAGTGTTATGTTGTTTTATTCAGTTAGTCACTGGTTGACCCTTCCAAATATGAAACGTGATAGTTTAATTACATCAAACTAATTAACTAATAATAGCCACGTAGTTTCTAAGAGAACGATGCCAAGAAATTATCTTCATGTAACTCCTAAGAAGTGCCACAAAAGCTCCATAAACCGTGTTGTAGAGACATTAGGCTATTTCGAAGCAAGAGAGCTCTATGAAAAATTATCTATGCTCTCGCCGGGAATCGAACCACGGACCTCTCGAAAAACGCGCCAAGCGTGCAGACCACAACACCACGAAGGCGGGAGAAATACTTTATACCGTTATCAAACATGTAATATTTGTGACTGCACGTTGAAAGAAGTATTTCCGGGAAGTTAAGCTTTCGAAATATCTGAAAGGTTAATTTATGCCAAAGCCTGTGTGAAACAGAGCTGTAAGTGAGACACATTCGCCAGCGTCGCAAAACGTCCTGCCTGCGTACGTAACTAGATTAAAATCACCAAAATAATTAAATTGTTCTGAGCTTAATTAACATTCTAATTAATTATTAATATATTATAATTTTAATAACCATAAAATATTAATAATTATCCCCCGTAAATAACCTCTTACCTTCGGCACTAATGTATTATACAAAACTGTTTTATATTTTAAGGCATAACATATTAAATTGTTCTAATAGTTAGAAACATGTTTCAGAAAGTTTACTGTTAGTTAAAAAGAGTATGTCATCATCAAATATGCGGCAAAATTTATTTTAATTTGATTCTGGCTATACGAAAAACTCAACACATTCCGAGGAAGATGATAAAGTTCATTTTTGCCTCTTAAAGAAAATAAGGTTAACATCATTCTAAAGCTGGCTTTTATTCACTTTGAAGACATTAAACAAAGTAATAAAATATATTAAACGGAATTTTTACATTATATTAATTAAATGAATTATGTATTCTACTTGACTTTTGTCAATTACCACAAACTCCACTGAAGTTAGTCTGTGGGAATAAATGCTTTCGTGGAGAACTTTCGGAGGGAACTTGGTTCGCATTAATGTTACGCATAAGGAAAATAATGAGAGCATCATGAGATAAGTCGTTCCACTACTGAAGCGAAATCCAAAATGGAATACTCGTAGCATATGTCGCAGTATAAAGCCACTCGATTAAAATAAGCACTTCAAGGTCGTAGGTATCGTAACATGTGACGTCACCACTTCACATAGCAAACTAGGGGATCTTAACGAATTAGAGGATTCGACCTTTTTCGCAGCAGTGGTTTGGGCCTCAAAGTGATTCTAACAGTAACCAGACAGTTGTAACCAATCTAAGTAAATAAAAAGATTTTCTCTTGCGTTCTTTAGGTATGTGACT